ATTTAGCAAAATCATGTTCCATGGGTTTTCCCCAGAAAATGAAACCTTTATAACTACCCTGTAAGTAGTACTGTGTCTTCTTGGAAACAGAGAGAAGGTAAGTCTTGGAGACTCTGCATTCCAAAATACCTTATTCTTTCCTGAGTTCAACAAGACTTTATCAACAGCTAAATATTTGAAATTTTGTTACTTGGATCCCTGAAGAAGAAGGTAAATTTTTAGTGTTGATCTGTAACACATCCCTTTATATCCTTTGTAAAATTATAATTTTTTATATTTATCATAGTGAGGTTTTCAGACTAAATGAAACAATGCTGTTGAAGGTGCTAAGTGAATCTAAGGTTTTATTTAGAGCAAGCGAACATGTAACGGGAATCATCACAGGACTCTCAGCAGATCTGGTCATGCGCTGAGTCTTTATGGGGACCTGGTGGACTCCACCTGTGTATGAGCCTCTCTTGTAAGATCAGCAGCATCTAAGAAATAAGCACACGTGTTTAACAATCAGGAGCCGATCATCTAGTAAAGAAAACAGAATATTTTGAAAAACATTTTCTGCTAACAGTGGAGCTTATCCCAACACTACAAGAATGACAAAGCCTAAGTAATAATGTAGACTCATCTGAAGAATATGTTCTACGAGACACACTTTAGTGGGGATTTATAAGGACTAACACATTCTATATTTTTACAATCCATTGAAAAATGGGGGAGATTAAAAAAAAAACTCAGAGAGATGAACTAATATGTCTAGTGGCAGAGGAGTAACAGGGAGGGCCAAAATGCACACTCTGACTGGCCTGATGTGAAGGCTCACGGCATTTGGCTTTCATGGCAGAGGCCAAGACCATGCATCTTCTGGGAGCCTGCACTTACAGACTGAAGGAGGGGACGTGAAGAGACAGGTATGGCTGTTTGAACTAGAAGAGAATGTGGTTAACAGAGGACTGAGGAAGGGGAAGGACTTCAGGAATAAAAGAACCACCCTGGGAAGAGGCCAAACTCTGGGCTGAGGGTGGTGGAGTCTGTAAATAGAAATGCACAGGGTTTGCCCTGTAAAACAGTTGTTGCATCTTCCAACAACTTTCTGTGACACCTTGCAAATGAGATCAGTAAAGTGGTAGAAGTCAGTTCTGCAGAACATTGGGATCCTGTGAGCCTTGAGCTTCTGAGAAGAGGAGTGCTCCACCTGTTTTTGAAGAGTGGAAAGAGGGGTATTGGAGTAACAGAAAAGTAGATTAGTTCTATCAGTGATGTCGGGGTGCACATGCATATAAGAAGGGTTTTCTAAAGTAATGAAGCTCCATGCCAAAACGGTTCAATGTAAGGAAATAGAGAAGGGACGCAGCTCAACAGTAACCCAATTTATTCTGGCCACACCTGGGGGGAGCCTGCAGTAGACTGACTCATCTTCCACTTACAGCCTGGGATACATGCTGGGGAGTCTGGGGGGCATTTTTGCAATTAGACCACTGACAGGTGTTGTCAGGAAAGGTCCTTTCCGTTGGCACCTCCAATTTTTTGAGGTGGTCACTGTTCCATGTTGACCAAGTGTTTCAAGATTCCAGTCCAGGTCACATTTCCTTCTTTTGCTTCATGATGGGGTGTTGTCCGGAGTTCAGGTCAGGCTGAGTCAGAATGACCATGAGGTGACCCTGCTCTAACATGAAGGATGGTTCAAAATGGCATTGCCTGTATCGAGTGCGACCTAACCTTTAGCACTAGTTTCTTTTCTCTTTTCATTTTATGAGGCAGTGGGGGAGGGCAGGGGGTTGCAGGGGTCGTACAATTTTCTATCTGGAAGAAAGTACAGTTTTCTTTTACGTTTTTGTCTTTGCCCCTTCTATTGGAGGGAGGTAAATGATTTACTGCCAGGATGCAGGCCAGGGAGGACATAAGTGCGTCTGGGATCCCAGTCTATTTTCACCCAACTCTCTATGGCCTTATTTTGTTTCCCTCCAACTTCATATTTTTTGTAGTTTTCAATATTCACTGTCTTGATAATTTGTTAATTCCCACCAACGACCAAGCAGGAAATCCCAGCTGTCTGCATAAGAAATAAGCCGGTGGTGGGAAACAGAAGCAAAGGCCATCACACTTCCGCCGACACTGGGAGGCAGACAGCCCACCTCAGTGGGTCCCACAGGAATGGTAATAATCTATAGAGACAAAAGCCAGGAAAAGTGTGCGTTTAGATTTACTAGGCGTGCTGGTCAGAAAGATGGCAGCTCCTGGCTCCCTGGCTGGAGCAGTTTCCATTCTCAGCATGAGAATATTCAGTTGCAGGAAAACAGTGGAGCTTTTTTAATTTCAAGGGGCTCTGTCACACCCTCCACACCAACCCAACATGACACCCTTCCTCTCCTAGTCCCACCCTACTTCCTTCACCTTTTAGCCTGAAAGTATAAAACCCACACCTTAACTCCTAGGTTCTGAGCTATGGAAGGGTRAAGGAAGGATGTACCCAGTTAGCCAGGGTTGTCTTCTTTTGCAAGGGAGGTCCTCCTTTCCTCTTGGAAGGAATCAGACCCCAAGCCCTTCTTCTGTGATAAGACCACTCCCCAGCAGAGAAGCAAGGGGCGGGGGATACTATAAGAAAATMCTGTCTTTATTTGCTGTTTTTCAAAGTAGGTAGATATGAATATTTTGTCACAAAAGGATATCATTTCAGAGCCTTTCCCGTGTCTGCAGAGGTCTGCAGTTTCTGTGAATGACCAAACTGAAATATCTAAAACTTACACTGAGGGTGGAATGTGTTTCTGTCACTGTTGTCATTGTGTAACTAAATGCCTTCTTCTTAGTCTCACATGACCAACTTACACTAAAGCTGTGCTTACATAGTACCCATGGAAGAGTCCCAGTTAACTGCATTCAGAAATGAACACCTTGACAGCTATGAAACACTGTGTGCTTTGCATTGGGCAACCCAGCCCGGAACTGCCTGGATCATGACTGGTCGGATTCTACCAACTTGCTGCTAAGGAACAGGAAAATGATGGGAAAAGGAAAAATGGGCTTTATGCATTTTGACCAAATTGGGAAGATGCAGCTTCTCCTCGGATCCTGCAGAAGTTGTAACAGCTTATAGACACAAAGTCCAGGTGATGTGTGTATGCAGAATTAGCTAGGMTGTGCTAGCCAGGGAACATGTCACAGTCTCAGGCTCTCTGGTCACTATTAGGGGTAGGGACCAGCCCTGAGCATCCATTCTCAATATGAGAAAGTTCAGAAGTTAATACAGTTTGGAACTTTTGATTACAAAGGAGATCTGTTTCAATCTTAGTCCTCATGACAGGGCACTAAAGAAAATGAGTTTGTTATGATCAATTACAGAATTTAAGTACAACTGAAAAGAGCCCATGAATCTGAAATCCTTTTTCTAATTCAAAGATGTAGCACAAATAGTTGTAAACTTGGTTTGAAATCAGGGAGTAAGAGAATGCCAAACAAATATAGCCATGTGAGAAGACTCATCAGAGAAAAGGCCCATTGCTTCTAGGGGTGCTGTCATTATACTGAGCCAGATTGTCAAAGTACACAGGCCTTCCATAAAAATGAGGCAGCACAGAGACCTCTGTTCACACCCTAACTCTCGCAATCATGCCAGAAAGACTTGAGACATGTCATTCAGAGTTGCAGGCATGAGTTTATTAGAAGGAATGGGGAAATGACAATGGGATGCTATCAAGGGAAACGGTGGGTTCTCCTAGAGAAGAGAGGGGTGGTGCACCCTTCTTGCCCTCCAGTTTTATTGGGATCCTAGGGAAATTTCCAGAGTGCCCCCCAAGTCCCCCTTCTGACTTTGACTGACAGCACAGGAACTGTCTGTTCCTCCTCCAGAGATGGGGTGGTGCTCACTGAGGATACTTAGTCCCTGATTTTGCCTCAATTTCCTGCCMCCTGACTCAGTTTATCACCCTCGGACAGTGTCCCTTTTCTTATCCCTTCAGTAATCTCATGTCCATCTGAGCGACATGTCTGAAATCTTTCTGACTTCATCACAAGAACAGAGGTTTGAAAGGGATGTTTTAATGCAGCCTCCATTTCTCAGAAGGCCCCAGTTCTGAAACATCACTACAAGAAACAGAATTAATTGAATAAACAGAAATATAAAGTAGAATAGTTTCTTCCATCCAATAACATTTATTTACTTAGAAATACTTATATGGCATAAATTCTATTCTAGATAAAGTGCTCAATGTTTTTTTAAATGACTTTAATCTTTATAACACTCTACAACACATTATTCACATTTTCTAATGTAATGCCTAAAAAATTATTAATTGTTTAAGACCACCCAGCTAAAATAATCTTTATCAGGGTTTGAACCATGCCCTAGCACACTGTCTTATACCCTCTTCTCCAGGTGAGTGGCAATCCCAGAATGTTCCAGGACACACCCCCTTTACAGGTGAAATAAGGGTAGGGGACTATCAACAAGGCTACATTTTTACCAAGTTCAATACGACCTCCTAATAGACCTCTTACTATTGATATATCAATTTCTTGGAATTTCTTTCCACTGGAAAATGCTTCTCTGTACATGTTGGTAGAAATAATTTTATAAGGAACATAGAGTGAAAGTGTGGTATTTCCGTGGAAGAAGGTGATGGAAAAATATCACCAACTTTCCAAAATGTGAAATTCTACTGGCTCTTAGTGAAGTGGTTAAAGGATAAACCAGTCTACTCATTTGACCGAACTTGTTGCTCAAAATGGATTTGAAGCCTCTTGAGAAGCTTCCTGTGTTCTTAATACAAAACCTACCAGGCTGTTGRTTTGCATTTAAAATTCACTTCACCCTAAAAGTGAGGCTCATCATCCATAGGCCACAAATTAAAAAAAATTTTCAATAAATAATTTTGTCATTCAGAAGCAACTTTGTAGGCTTTTGCTACAAAGTTGCAACTTTTTGAAACCTTGTAGCAAAAGCCTTTATATTCTATGACACATCCTGGATGTTCCTTACATGCTGTCCTCTCCACAGTGAGCAGCTCACCATGGCCTGGGGGAACCAGACCTCCAGCCCTGTCTTCATCCTGCTGGGCATCTTCAACCACAGCCCCATCCACACCTTCCTCTTCGCTCTGGTCCTGGGCATCTTCACAGTGGCCGTCATGGGGAACTCCAYCATGGTGCTCCTCATCCACCTGGATGCCCAGTTGCACACCCCCATGTACTTCCTCCTCAGCCAGCTCTCCCTCATGGACCTGATGCTCATCTGCACCACCGTCCCCAAGATGGCCTTCAACTACCTGTCTGGCAGGAACTCCATCTCGCTGGGAGGCTGCGGGACCCAGATATTCTTCTATGTGTCCCTGATGGGAGCCGAGTGCTTCCTGTTGGCAGCAATGGCCTATGACCGCTATGTGGCCATTTGCCACCCATTAAGATACCCAGTTCTCATGAGCCAGAAAGTCTGTGGCCTCATGGCTGCTGCTTCCTGGCTTCTTGGCTCCCTTGATGGTATAATTGTCATTGTGGTAGCCTTGTCCTTCCCATACTGTGGTTCCGGGGAAATACCCCACTTTTTCTGTGATGTCCCTGCCCTGCTCACCCTCGCATGCACTGACACCTTGACATTTGAAAGGATGATRTTKATCTGCTGCATCATTATGCTTCTGTTCCCTGTAGGCATCATCATTGCTTCCTATGCTCVTGTGATTCTGGCCGTCATTCACATGGGATCTGGGGAGGGTCGCCGCAAAGCTTTTGCCACCTGCTCTTCCCACCTCATGGTGGTGGGCATGTACTATGGAGCGGCCATGTTCATCTACATGCGGCCCACTTCTGACCGGTCCCCCACCCAGGACAAGATGGTGTCGGCCTTCTACACCATCCTCACSCCCATGCTGAACCCCCTCATCTACAGCCTGCGCAACAGGGAGGTGTCCAGAGCATTCATGAARGTGCTAGGGAAGGGAAAGTCTGGAGAGTGAGCTGGCTCTCGTGTCCACACATTCTTTGCTTAATGTTTAAATTTATGGATTTAACCAATACAACTTGGTAGCAAAATTTTTTACAATGAAAAATTTATACTCAACCATATAAGATTTGAAATTGAAGGACATTGTACATACTTATTTGTTCAAATATTTCTCTTTTCTTCTTATTGTGGTAAAATGTTTTGTACAATTATAAGTGAATATTTGCAACAAGAGGAAGTACAGAACTACATGGTTTATTTTCATAATGAGAGCATGTGAGAAATATTTATCCACCATAAAACCCATTGTTTGCATTGATTAAACCTACTAGGTCTTTTGACAAATAGCATTTAAAAAATAGTATTTTTATATTTGTATCCTACTTATACCTTAGGCTGATCAATTTGTAAAAAAGTAATCAAATTATTTATAGAATTCTTATAAAAACCAATTAAATTTAACCAAATGGAGAGAAGAATGTTATCTTAAAGTTGACTGGGTATACTGAGATTATCTTGTAATGGACAATGTGTTCCTTTAGACTGTGTTAGATATGTTTACACTTATTTCCTTCTACTACAGATATCACATATATACTTGGGAGACTGAAATGTGAATATAATTTTTCAAATTGTAGACTTATTCTCCTTAGATATTCTGCTTCTTATTTGAGGCAAACACAGTAKTTGCAGGGAAACATGGTCAGTTTTTTAGAGAAAACTAGATTTTCTGAAATTCACAATTGAGTGTAAAATACATGTATAACAAAACTATATATGTATTTTCATGCTTTTTAATAAAATTTATGCAGTTCTGGAAATGTTTGTATTTCTTTAGGGAAAACCATGAATTAAAACTTCTCTCTTAAAACTCTGTTGGAACATCCCCACCAATAATGTTTTCTTTTATTGTATAAAAGTCACCACAACCTGGTCACTCTAAAGAACAACTATGCCTCTTATCACAGCTTACATTGGTCAGTGCCAATATCAACTAGAACTTCAGCTCAGGTATTACAACGTTGAAATCTAAATGTTGGCTGGGATTGCAGTTCATGAAAAGTTCAGGGTCGTATTKTCTTTTCAAATTACTGTTGCACATTCAAAGCACACTGCTCCCATTTATGTGCTTACATGTTCATTCATGCTGCCAAATGAATACTCACCTGAGGAGATATGCATTGCAAGGTGGATTGCATGGTCAAATACCCTGAAATACTATGTTAAATTATCTTGTAATGATTGGAGGATTGAGCAAGGCAACAATGCAAGGAGGTAGGTGGTACACAGAATCCAGAGATGATTTCCAAGAGAGAGAGGCTATAAAGAGATGCTATATTTTATGTACAGAAAAACTGACACACACCTGGGATCCCTGGCACTCGGGAGAATTAAAATTTTGAGGTGGGGCACTTGCCTAGCAATGGCAAAGCCCTGGGTTTGATCCCTCAGTACCATTAAACAAACAAACAAAAATAATAACAAAATAAAGACAAATTCTGTCATGTCTCATAATGGTAAAAGGGTTATTAAAATATGAATAAGAAAATAAATAGTAGAAGGAAAAGTGTTGAGAGCCACAGCCTAAGGGGCCTCAGCAAACTTCCAGCTGATTGGCTCACCGTGGCCCCAGCAAACTTCCAGCTGCCAGCTGATTGGCTCTCTGCAGTGATGCTCATTGGGCTGTTTCCCCGCCCTTTCAGACCATGGGGGACTCTTTTGGCTCTGCCCATGTGACCCAGCCAATCAACCTCAAGAGCAGGAGGAGTGGGGGTTGAGAGGCTTGTGGGAAGCCAGTGGTGGCAGTTGGGCTCTGAGGGAATTCCTGAAGAGCTGTGTGGTGCTGTGTTCTAAAAATAAAGTTTGTTTCTGCTTGACAAGTGGCTCATGAATTGTGTCCAGCCAGACTGCAGCAAAAAAGGAAGGTCAGGAAAAGGATCAAAAAAGAAAAGGATAGAGGTTACTGTGATTACAAAGTACAAGTAAAGAAGTTAACTGTTCAGTTTCAGGCCAGTTGTGATGGAAGCCCTAGGGGATCAAAAGAAGATGTTAAAAACATGTACTCAAAAATACAAGAATGAATTTTAGGGATAACCTGAGGTTACAAATTGAAATTTAAAAAGCATCCCCACTAAAAAAAATATAAACACATTATCAAAAGAGGTTACAATTAAGAAAGATGATTTTTTAATCCATCATAAGCCTAACAAAATATGTACAATATTTATATTAATTTTTAAAAAAACTTTGATGGAAGACATAAAAGAATAAACAAACAGAAGGCAAGTCCATGTTCAAGGATAGAAAGATTCAATATTGTCAAGGTATGGGTTTTTCCCAAATAGATCAAAAATCTATAGATAGAATTGCAATAGAGATCTCTGAAGGTTACTTGTGTATGCTCTTATTAAAGTATACAAAAGGCAGAGGATATATAAGAGCCAACATAATGCACTATTTGTGAAAAATACACAAAGATTCAATAAAACATATTTAGTCATGTGACTTAGGGCCAGGCAAATGTACTCAATTGATTTTTTGACAAAGGAACAAACATAAAACAATTTAAAAAAAAGATATTATCTTCAGGAGACCAGCATAGTAAAGGAAGAGAATTGAGAGCAAGGAGAAGGAAAGGGCAAAGGAAGTACTGGGAAATGAAATGATACATGTCCATGTATAAATATATCACAAGAAATCCATCATTAATTTCTAGAATATACACATATATATATATATATATATATGATTATAAAAAAGAATGATAATGTAAATTTTAAACCAGGATATTATATTAACAAAATGCCTATCCAGAATTACTGTTATATACAAAATATAAACAATAATTAAAATTTAAACAATGAGAAAATGAATAACCTATTGAAAAAATGAATACAATGTAAGACACCTCACCAAAGAAGACAAACAGATGGCAAATAAGCATGTGAAAGATGCTCAGCATCATATGAAATTAAGGGATTACTAATTGAAACAACAGTGAGATGTCTCTACCAACTAATTAAATATCAGAGCTTCAGTCTTCTAAAAATGTCTACACTAAATGCAGTGAAATTCATGGAGAAGCAGGAACTCTCATTTCTGATTGAATGCAAAATGGAACAGCCACTTTGGAAGAAAATTATGTGTTTTCTTAATAAACAAGACATACTCTTATCATAAACACGAATTTAAAAAGCGTTCTCAGACAATACAAACCCATGATGTGTCATTAAATAAACTGAGCATATTTCAACATGCTATAAAACCGTCCTGCTTGGTTGAGGCTTCCTTGATGTGAACTAGAACCAATTAGTCACATGCACAGTAACTACATTCCATGACATTTTCCCAAGTGAGCTGAAAATTTATGTCCCCATGAAAAGATTCACATGGGTCTTTATAATGGTTTTGCTCCCAATTACCAAACTGGAAAGCCAAGAGGATGTTCTTCTGTGGGCAGAGGCATAAATGAAAGGTGGAGCACTCATAAATGAAACATTACTTAGCACTAAAGAGAAATTCGCCATCAATCCATGTAAAGACATCATGGAAACTCGACAACCTATTAGTTAAGTGAAATTAATCAATTGTGAAAAGCAACCTGCATTCCATTTTATTCCAAATGTATGATATTCTGAAAAAGGCAAAATTTCAGAGGCATAGTTTTTTATGCCAATTTTTGTCTGATGGATCTTAGCAAAATTCCTAAAGCACAAGAAATAAAATCAAGAATGAATAAATGGAGTGGCATCAAACTAAAAGTAATTAATACTCCATTATAAATATTGTATGTCACTCTAATTAGCACCCCAGTAAATCTCCTGCCCCTCTCCTTTAGCACTTCTTTGCAGCAA